AAAAAAAAGAAATAGACAGTTGGGGGATGAGGGACTATGACCCTGGGGAGGGAGATGACCCTGCCCTGTGCTGCACTCAGGCCCTTGACCAGTCCAGCCTCCCCAGCCACTTCAGTCTGATGTGTGAACCCTGCCTGCCCACACCCCACTTTCCCCTTCAAGTGACTTTGCTTCCCCGGGGAGGGAGTTTCGGTGGGTCCAGGCTGGGTTGTGACAGCTCCTTCTCTCTTGAACAGGTGTCTGATGGGACTGCACTGGTCTGCTCCCAAGCTGGCAGGTGGACACTGCAGGGTGTGATGACCTGGGGTCCCTACTTTGGGCCTGGCCTCTTGAAGGTGTGCATCCCTTCATTTCCTGGATCCAAGGTAGAGTCTCAAATATCTCCTTTGCCACCTTGGCCAAAAGGCACCATGGGCCCAGCCCAAGATAAGACAGAGGAGGCAGTGAGGGTTGTGAGCCTGTGGAAGTCCTAGGTTTGAATCCTAATGCAACTACTTACTTGCTGCTGTGATTGTGTCCAAATTATCTGAATCTCAGTTTCCTCCTCTGTAAAAAGGAGATGTCTTCAATTATTCATTCAATGAGTTAGTGGTTACTGAGTGTTTATTGGGTACCAGGCCATAAAACTGGCAGTCTAGTAAGGGAGGCAAGCACCAGCCCAGATCACAATGATAAACGTGGGAATACAAACCACGGTGACCACTGCCCGGTTAACAGAAGCTGTGACTGACTTGGGGCAGCCAGGGAGGAACTCTCACTCGCACAGGGCCTCAACAGACCTTGGGTTCTGGCCAGCAACTCCCCTGAGCGTTGGCTGACTGCAAGGCCAGGTGCTGCTCCTTCATGGGTTTCAGTTTCCCCAGCTTCACACAGAGGAGCTGTGGACTGGATGTAAGTGTTGAGGTCCCTCAAGTTAAATAAATTTTTTCCCTGGCTGACCTCTGTGGCTCACCCCTGCAGTCCTAACACTCCTGGAGGCCAAGACCGGAGGATCGTTTGAGGTCAGGATTCAAGACCAGCCTGAGCAAGAGTGAGGACCCAAGACCTGGTTTCTACTACAGACACAAACAGTAGCCCGAAGTGGCAGGTTCCTGCAGTCTCAGCTACTCCGGAGGCTTAGCCCAGGAGTTAGAGGTTGCAGTTAGCTACGGTGACACCACTATACTCTTAGGCTGGGGACAGAGGAAAACCTTGTCTCACAAAAACAACTTTTTCTCAAAAGCCACAAGGGCGCATCCCGCCACCTGACGCAAGACACTGCCTGGCCCTAGCTGGGGACTCTCCTCTGAGCGCCAGGTCTTCCAGCTTTAACCCCGGCAGCCGCCTTCTGCCGTCCCCGCGGCGGGCCCACAGCGCCATCTAGTGGCCAATGGGTATTTACACACTTGGCTTCCGGCAAGCTTGAGTTGTGACCTTGTTCTTTTCGCCTCCGCGCTGCAGGGCGGAGCAGGGCCGAGTCAAAGTAGACTCACATTCCCTGTGGGTGTAACTGGACCGTGTGGTGGGGTGCCTTATACCCCACCGGTCAGGACGCCTACCCTCGGCACGGGGAGCACCACCCTAGCAGCCACCGGAAGAGGTGTGGATGCGGGGACCGGCCTCTCCCAGCGGCGCCTGCGCACTGCAACATACGCCTGCCGGGCCTTCGCGAAGGTGTCGTTGCGAGAAACGTGTCCCGCGCGCTACGCCGTCTGTTTCTAGGCAACCCCGCTGCCTCTTAGCAACCACGCACGCGGCCGGAGTTGGGTCTCCCCAACCTGTGGCGGTGCCATGGCGGCTGGGACTTCCACGGTCTTCCTACTTATGGTCAATGGGCAAGTGGAGAGCGCCCAGGTGAGCGGCCGCGGGTGCCCTGGGGGCCTTTCCCGCAGTCCTTGGGGCTGGCGTGTGGCCCTGGAGAGCCGGGTCATTCCCCCGAGCCTCTCGGTGGGGCGGGGACGGGAACCAGCGGTGAGAGGTTTGGCGCGAGGTTGCTGGAATCCGTAGCCTCCACGTGCGGGTGTGGAAACAAGCCTGAGAGGTTAAGCCGGTACCGACGTCCCACTCAGCCAGGCCGGTGGCCCCTGCCTGGGATCCTGCCCGCTTGGTTGAGCCACAGAGCCCTGGCGCTGTGACAGGAGGAGCTGAGGCTTGTCCGACTTTCGGGGCCTGTTCCCCCCGTGTACCGGGCCATATGCTGCGAGCGCCCCGCGCTTGGAACCCCTAGGACGAGCTGGAGGCCCTCAGCTCCACCCAAGTATGACCTCCAATCTGGATGCTTTGGTTAGCCAGATCCGACGTTGTGTGTGCCTGTCAGACTGAAGGGACCCTACTCTGTCCATCCTCTTATGCTTTAAGAACCATTTATTGTAAGTAAATAAAAACTAGGCCAGGCACGGTGGCTCACACCTGTAATCAATCCCAACAATTTAAGAGGCCGAAGCACGAGGATTGCTTGAGGCCAGGAGTTGGAGACTAGACTGAAGAACACAGCAAGACCCTGTCTCTAACAACAACAGACCCTCCACATTCAGCAAGTCCTTGCTATGCGCCCAACTTTATGCTCAGCGCTGCTTACTCAGTGCTGACAGCAGCCTCTGCACTGGGTATTACTACATTCATATTTCACCGCTGGGAAAATGTACCCAAAGGACGTGGCATAGCAGGGCATTGAACCCAAGTCTGTCTGACCTCAAAGCTTTGCTAGGCTCTCCTTCCAGGCTATTGGAGATGGCCATGTATTATTTATATTACTCTGAGGATTAACTGAGATGGTTCAGGTAAAGCTCTGACAGGACCTGATGCTTAGTGTGTGTCTCCTGTCTTCCTCTTTCAGCAGAGGTACAGCTCCTGCTCTGTCCACCTAGGACCACCTTCCCCCTCTCTTTTCATCCCAGTAGGGGCTTTCAGCTAGGCTGGGTCACATATGTCTGTGCTGTCAGCCTCCTCCCCATCCTCCCTCCCTTTCTTCAGGCCTTCAGCTCCACCCAAGTATGTCCTGATGGCTTCCTGGGTTCTCACACCTTTCACTTCAGCCCCATTCCCTTAGACCTTGTCTGTGCCCACTCCTGTGCCAGCACTGGGGACACAGAAAGGCATCAAACCTGTTCCCTATTCACTGTCTAGGGGGGTTGACAGTCACAGACACAATCGGTGCTTTGATGGAGGGAAGCACAGGGGCTGAAAGGCTAAGTGGGAGCCCTTAAACCAGCCTGGGAGTTAGGGCAGGTTTGCAGAAGGATATGTTTTGAAGGGTGAGCAGGAGTCGTGCAGATGAAGAAATAGGAAGGGCATATCAGAGAGAAGGCCCAGGCCCAGGAGCAGCAGCAACATTTGGGTCTGCACACTCTGCACTGAACTATAGCCACATCCCTAGCTGTCCTTAGATGCCAGCCCAGGTGCTTCATGTTGCCTAATTCTGTAGGCTGCTATCAGATGCATTGGCCTCAGCATGAATCCCAGTAAACAGAGTATGTGTGTGCTTTTTCCACAGTTCCCAGAGTACGATGACCTCTACTGCAAGTACTGCTTTGTGTATGGCCAGGACTGGGCCCCTACAGCGGTAAGCTTGATTCTTGGGCCTACCTTACTTATGGCCTTCATGATTGTTGGGGTTTCTGAAGGTGTTTATCATACCCTTTCTCTCTGTGCTCAGAACCACTCAAGAGGTAGACACGAAGTTCAGAGGGAACCCAAACTTCAGTTTGTTCCTGGTAAAGCCAGAGAAGAGAACATAGCCATAATTGGGCTCCCCAACCCCCCAAGATTTCACTCAATCACATATCTGGTCCTGCGAGCTTGTATGTGTCAGCAAAAAGGGCCGCGTGGGCCAGGTGAGCAGGCAGGCCCAGCAATCCAGCTGGGGAGCTGCGGGGCTGTGGAACTGGCGGCCAGGCCCTCACCATTTGGCCTCTCCTGAGCTGCAGGGGAGGATGCTGGAGAGTCAGAAGGCAGGGCAGGCTGTCTCCTGCTGAGACTTCCCAAGGGGCAGCCTATAGAGATCTGGAGATGACTTCAGCCAGCACATGTTACTGTTTGCAAAGCGCTCATTTAATCTTCACAGCAGTTAGGGAAATGAAGTCTTCACTTATTTAACCTCCCCAAGCCTCAGTTTCTTCAGCTGTACAACTGTGATAATAACTTAGTTTCCATTCACCCATTCATTGAAAATCTATTGATTGTGAGTCTTCTGGATGCTGGGGATAGGGTGGTGAACAAAGCCAGACCAAAGTCCTGTCTTCTTGGAGTGCACATTGTTATAGAGGAGAGACAGATATTAAATAGTAATATTCTAGGATATTACTAATAAGAAGGAGAGGGAGCTAATAAGGGGAGAAAACAAAGTCAGGAAGCAAGAGGTATGAAGGGTAAGAGGGAGGCTAGACTCTAGATAAGGCAATCAGGGAAGGCCTCACTGAAAAGGCAACTTTGAGCAAAGCCTGAGGAAGTAAGGGAACAAACCACATGGAAATCTGTGGAAAGAACTTTCCACGCACAAATAAAGAATACAAAGGCCCTGGGGCAGGGGGCAGATCTTATAGGGCTTTAAAGGTAAGAGTAAGGACCATGACCTTTACTCAAGGGGGAGAAAGGATCTCATCAGAGAGTTTGACAGAGAAGAAAGTGAGCCAACTCTTTTTGAGACAGAGCCTCAAGCTGTCCCCCTGGGTAGAGTGCCATGGCTTTACTGCTCATAACAACCTCCAACTCCTGGGCTCAAGCAAGTCTCCTGCCTCAGCCTCCCAAGTAGCTGGGACCACAGGCACTCGCCACAATGCCTGGCTATATTTTGGTTGCAGCCATTATTGTTGTTTGGTGGGCCTGGGCTGGATTCAAACCTGCCACCTTAGGTGTATGTGGCTGACGCCTTAGCTGCTTTAGCCACAGGCGCCGAGCCGAGCCGACTCTTTTGAAAAGGTCCCTTTGGCATGGTGTGGTGGCTCATGCCTGTAATCCTAGCACTCTGGGAGTTCAAGGCAGGTGGATTGCTTGAGCTCAGGAGTTTGAGACCAGCCTGAGCAAGAGCAAGATCCTATCTCTATTAAAAATAGAAAAATTAGCCAGTGCCCGTAGTCCCAGCTACTTGGGAGGCTGAGACAAGAGGATCACTTGAGTCCAGGGGTTTGAGGTTGCTGTGAGCTGTGATGCCACAGCACTCTACCCAGGGCAACAGAGTGACATCTTAAAAAAAAAAAATCACACCAGTTTTTTAGCCTGAGCACTTTTGGAAGTAGAGAGTACCCTTCAGTGAGATTATTATGCTTAGAGCAGATTTGGGTAAACTCCCTAGAGCTTAGCCCAGCATGGGTTAAGATTGAGACACCCACTAGATATCCCAAGGGGGGATGTGAGGGTGGCTGTGGGAGATGGGCAATGCTGATCTGGAGTGCAGAGGTGAGGGCCAGGCTGGAGGCAGGAGTTTGGGAATTGTCAACATCTCGACCACATTGAAAGCTGTGAGGCTGGGCAGCACCCGTAGCACAATGGTTACAGTGCTGGCCCCATACACCAAGGGTGGCAGGTTCAAGCCCGGCCTGGGCCTGTTAAACAACAATGACAACTGCAACCAAAAAATAGCCAGGTGTTGTAGTGGACGCCCGTAGTCCCAGCCACTTGGGAGACTGAGGCAAGAGAATCGCTTAAGCCCAAGAGTTGGAGGTTGCTGTGAGCTGTGATGCCATGGCACTCTACTGAGGGCAATACCGTGAGACTCTGTCTCAAAGGAAAAAGAAAGCTCTGAGGCTAATGAAATCACCAAGTACTGGTGGAGAAGCTGACCAGAGGTGTAGCCTCAGGATAACACAGCACTGAGAAGGAGCACATCAGGAAGCAGATCACCTTTCAGAAGTGATCAGCTGTGGCAAGTAAGATGACGACAGTAGTAACTATGGTATAGCAAATGTCAAGGCCACTGGTGTTATTTGAAAAACACTTTGGTAGAGTGGTAGAGCCAGTAGTCAGATCGCCATAGGTCAACGAAAGAATAGCAGAGGAGGAACTGGAGCTGGTGAGTGCAATTACTCTTTTAAGGGGTTTTGCCATAAAGGGGAGCAAAGAATGAGCGGGTAGGTGGAGGAGGAGGTAGAATAAGGAGAGAGAGCTTGTGACTGAGAAAATCATATATGTGCTTATGTCCAGGGGGATGATCCGGGTGAGAGTGGTGTAGGAGAGAGCGCAGACATTGCTGGTGCCATTGCCTTCAGTGAGGCAAGAGGGGACAGATACAGTCCTGGGAGAGTGGCTGACCTCCTGCATTGTCTCCTATCATCTCTGATAGGACTAAGAGATGCTCTGTTACCTCATCCCCCTGTTTTTTGGAAGTTAGTGTCTTCGTAGATGGTACTTGAGGATATAGCCCTCCAAACTGCCTGCCCAAGGCAAGGGGAGGAGCCGTGACAGTCTCTCGGTCAGACACCAGCTCACTCTGTCATTGTCCCCATAGGGTCTGGAGGAGGGGATCTCACAGATCACATCCAAGAGCCAAGATGTGCGCCGAGAACTGGTGTGGAACTTCCCCATCGATGTCACTTTTAAAAGCACCAACCCTTATGGCTGTGAGTTTGCAGAGGCCCTGGGGAATGGGGGCCCAGAGCTTGCACAGGACATCCAGGACAGCCTCTGCTTGGTGCTGTCCTCCACTGTCCACATTCATGTCATTACTGTCACTGGGCTCTTGCATCAGCCTTTGGTGTTCTCTCTGGCCACCTCCACTTTTTCCTCATCCCCACTCCACCCAGTTTATCTCCTGCTTGCTGCCCAGCCAGCCTTATGCACATTCAGAGTGGATCAGGTCAGGTCCCAGTCAGACACTTTGCTTATCACTGTGCCAGTGAAGGACAGACTGCTGAGCCTGGTGTGCAGCCTACAGCTGTCTGGCCTGTGCCTCTCTCCATCCAGACCTGAACACTCGCTCTTCCGGTGCTAGGCCTCAGGTTCCCTCCTCTGAACCTTTGTTCATGCTGTTCCCTTTGCCCAGATACCCTTCCTACATCCTAACCACATACCTCCTTCCCAAGGGCTGCCTTGCTTGCAGTGTTCACTTCCTATTTTGGTAGCTATTAACCATTCTAATTCTTCATTTCTTCACTTTCACTTAATTAGTGCCTACTGTATACAAAGCTTGAGGTTGAGCTCCATAGGGACTATGAATACTTTCTCTGTGTGGGCTTATCCAAGCTTCCTAATCCTATTTGGCAGACATATTTCTATTTCTTATTTTTCTCGTCTCAGGAAACTGAGACTCAAAATTAATATCATTGCCTTCTGCTTTCCAGCTAGTAGCAAGTGTGAATTTGAATTCAGCCCCATCTAATGTCATAGTCCAGGCCTCTCTACTGCATATGGCCTGGGCCCAGGCTCATCAGGGTGTGAAGGTTCTGGAGCAGGGGCCACCTGTGGTCCATCTGGACAGGGGCATCCATCCTGCTATCATCACCCCTAAGTAAGCGTCGGTAGACTTTCTGGAACATGCGCTAGGTAGTAGGCCAGCCTGTTTCTGCTGATGACGGCCAGAAGAAGTGAATAAAAACAAAAATGAAAAACTACCTTGACGGGTGGTACCTGTGGCTCAGTGGGTAGGGTGCTGGCTCCATATACCAAGGGTGGCAGGTTTGAACCTGGCCCTGGCCAAAACTGCAACAAAAAATAGCCGGGC